GTATTCTCTATTTTAGAGATCTCATCATTAATTGTTTTATTTACATGTTCTATAATTTTATGAATTACGATCCCAATACATTAAAAAGAAAAAAAAAACTAATATTAATTCAACCTCATTAAAAAACTCATTTCCCTTTTCTCTATTGAAAGTTTTAGTGAATAATTAGAGTTGTTCGCAGGTGGGATGACCTGCTAGAAAAATGGGCTTGGATTACCATTCTCGAAAAAATGGGCAGGTCTGGACTAACTTATTAAAATTAATGGGTGGACATGGGCAATGGAAAAAAATATTTTGGCAGATCCGCTAGGCCCATTAATATTTTTATAATAATTAACTTATTAAAAATTTACAAATATTTTGAAAATTCCTAATACTTATTAATTCTTACTTAATTATGACTCACGATAATAATATTTTCTAAAAATCTTAAATTTAAAAATATAATTACCTCAGATGATCAATTTCTTATTATCCCATTTAATCAATTTCTTTATCGATACTTCATATTCAGCGAAACAATTTCTTTCTAAAGTATGTATATTATTATGTATTTACAGCAAATTTTAAGTTGGAAAAGTTGTTGTGTATTTTGAATTATTTTACATAACTTGGAATTAATAAGTTTTGTTTTCATAAAAATATAACAAGATTTTTAAGCTCGTCAGCCCATGGACAAGTCCGACCCGTTTATAGGGCGAGTATGGGTAAGTTTTCAAACCTGTAAAACGGGTTTTGTTTTACCATATTAGACCAATTGGACAAAAGAATAGGTTAAACCCGGCCCAGGTCCGGTCCAAACCCCCAAATGATCAACTCTAAGAATAATCTATATTTTGGAATTTTCTCCATCACAGAGAACACGATAGAAAATGTGTGGGAGATGCTCTAAGTCATCTGCTAGCTTCAGTCGCTAGTTGAGTCAAAAAAATATTTCCTTACATTAACCTCCTTAAAAACAGGTTTCATATAAGATCAGCTGAGGCCACCAATATTTGCCCAAATAAAAAAAATGTACTGGATAGCCATCGTCTTTTACAAGGACGGACCTATAGTTGGGCCTATGGTGACACACGTGCCACGGTATTATTCCTTCGTCGAAGGGTAAAAAAAATTAGGTTCGTGAAAGATGCAACCGTATTAATCTGTTGTGTGTCACCGTATGTATTTGAAACTATAATGAGAACAAGTTTTATTTTGTAAAGTTGGTTTGTAAGACTTTTATTCCATCCCAGACCCAAATTCGAATTCCGTTAGTGTCATTTTCTTAATCAAATGATGATATCATTTGAAATTTTTCCCTATAATTTTTTTTATAGTCAAATTGTACCATCATTTAAAAAAAATTCTAGATCCGTCTCTGATCTTTTAACACGTTCATCAACTCCTACGTAACCTTTGTATTTTAAATTCACAATTATTGATTCAGAATTTATTTAATTAATATATTAAATAATGAACAAAATTAGAAAAAATACTTGGTCAAAGTCAAACCTATGAAATTGAGGATATTTTCCAAACGACAATAACCTCACCATCCACCCATCAAACTCAAAAGTCCAAGCTAACCACTTGACAATGTCTAACACCATCACACATTTCTAACCTAACCATATTTCATTCATTATTTTTAATACAATAAACAAATTAACATAAAACAGTATAAAACAGTTACCGATACTGCAAGAAGTAGAAGCAAAAAGTAGGTATTTTGTAAAAATATGTTGTAAAATATATCTTCTATACTGATAATTATAAGTTTAAAACCTGATGTTGTTTTTTATTATTATACTGGCATCGTTCTTAAAGCCTGGATGTTTCGATGTTGTCAAAACCAGGTTTTATGTTGTTAGCAGAAACCTAGAAGGGTGTAGGGACGTTTCATCGTTTTGAACGGGACGAAACTCAAATCAGACATAGTTTGATCTTGGTTTCAATCTGTATTAAAGTAGACTTAACTATGGAGGTTCTTTTACAATAAATCCAGTTCATTAGTTGTTACTGTAGGACTTAATCGGTACACATAAGTTGAGCTGGATATGTAAGGTTACAAAAAGAACTACATAAGGGTTGTTTGTTTATCTTTTAATAGTTCCACTAAAAGACAATATCTGAATCGTTAAGAAGTGAGTCTTGTTTGACAAAAAAAAAAAAAGTCTACCTCTAATGGTTCTAAAACCCTCTGAATGATTTTGTATCCTGGGCCTCCCTTAATCATTTAGCATCCTAGTTTCATTTTGTAATATATCATGAGAGCCTCTTAATCATTATGATAACTTAATCATTTTGTACCAAACATTCAGCAGTTGTCAAACAACCCCTTAATATAAATATTCCACTAATAAATGGAAAAAAGTAAAATGAATCGAATTCGAAATGATGTAGATATTAAAACAAAGTATTGTATAAACTACATAACAAATTCTTGCATGTAAGAGACTGTTTGACAGTTGCTGAATGATTTAGTGCAAAATGATTAAGTGGATTAAAATGTTCTTATGATGTAGTGCAAAATGAAATATAATTGCTTATAATGAAATTAGGGAGCTGAAAGGTTAAGGGAGGTTCAAAATACAATATCATTCAGAGGGTTTTAGAATCATTAAGAGACATACTATTTTTTGTCAAACAATATTCACCTTTTAGCGATTCAGATGTTGCCTCTTAATAAAACTATTAAAAGGTAAACAAACAACCCTAAATTTTTCAAAATAGGAACCGGAACAAAATAAAATTTCAATGCAAGTTTTTCTTTAGTAAGAACAAATTACCTGTAAAACGAATATTACTTTCGCTCAGTCGACATTTTTTTAAAAGACATATTTGAGGTAATAATTTTTAATTAAACTTTTTATCTGAGATTTAAGGATTTACGCAAAAATATATTAATTATAAATAGATACTTTCAAATTATAAATATTTAAATAAACCGTTTTTAAATTATAAAACTTTAAACATGTCTTTTAAAACGATGCTATATAAAATAACGATCGAATAGAATCTATAATCTTTTAGACGTAAAAATAGCAACCTACTTTATAAGTACGATGCCCTAATAAAAAAATATTTTGAAAGTATATTGTTGTAATAAGAAAAACTAAAAGTTGAATACTATATTATATATATATATATATATATATATATACATATACACATATGTGTGTTGTTATTTCGTGCATTTTATCCAAAAAACTAATAACTTAGTTTTAAAAATATAATAGTTTTTGATAAAACTTTTTATTAGAGAATTAAGTATTTGACTTGGGATCACGTGAGACCAGCCTGTTTTCGTGAGACCCGTGAGACCAACTTTTTACACTTGAAACTTCACAGTAAAATGCTGTGAAGGTAGCCTTCACAGTGTTTTTGATGTGAAGGTTTGACTTTTTTAAACATTCACAATGTTTTTGCTGTGAAGTTTTAAGTGTAAAAATATGGTCTCACGGGTCTTACGAAAACAGTCTGGTCTCACGTGAACCTAACCCTTAAGTATTTATAGAAAAATATGTTAATAAAATATTAAATTAAAAATCATGTTTAAACATTTAAAAATGTATTTAAGGATTCATTAAATTTATTCCAAATGGGGGCAAATTTTAATGCTTTTGTAGGTGAATGAATAATCATGACACCAAGAAGGAATGTCCGGATATCAAGGGCATAATCGTCTAATCATAATTGTAACATATAATTTTTAACTGATTAAAAAAGAAGGATAAATTTCAATGTTATTATTTATATTAAAATCTATTCAATTTATAAATTAAAAATGTAAAAAATAAATATTAATGTTGAGATATACAAGAAATAAATTTATAGGTATGAGTGTATTTAACATTATATAAAAACGTATTTAGCCTACCTCATGGATGGACTAAATGCATCATTAATCTATATATATATACTACATTATAAAGCATTTAACAAAAACTCTTTAAAACTATTTTTTATGCATAAAATACTGTACATTGATGCATATTACTTAAAATTTCAAATTGCAAGTAAATTATGCACAAGTACAACTTATTAAAGCCCAATGTTTGAATTCGTGTAACTAATTGCGGATAAACATAATCAAATAAAGAATAAACATCTTATTTTAAAATATAAAAAATCTAAAATATAATTAAGATAATTATCGAGTTCTAACAAAATTATTCTTATAAGAAAATTATATTATTAAACCAAATATAAATTACTTCGTTATTGAACTTAAATTAAATTATAATAAAAAATTGAATTAAAAATTATACAAAAAATAAGAAATTTTAAATAGTTAATTTGATACTAATATCAATATAGTTTTGTCAAAATTTTATGATATCTTCAAATTTATATTTTATTAAAAATAAAAACATCATCGTTTTTTCAAAAAAACATAAAACCCTATTATAACATCGACTGAGATAAAAAATAAAATGAAATATTAAAATCAAGATGCATCTCGTTGCATTGCGTGAGTACCCTTCTAGATAATAATTAAGTATTTTATTAGAATTCAATTATTATCCTACTTATATTTTAGATTTTTTATATTTAAAATGAAGTGTTTATCCTTTATTTAATTATATTTATCTGTAATTAGTTATACAAATTCAAACATGAAGCTTTAATAAGTTATACTTACGTACAATTTACTTGTAATCTTGAATTTTAAGTAATATGCATCAATAAATAGTATTTCATGCATTAAAAAAATGTTTTTAAATTTTTTGTCAAATATATTATAATATAGTATAGATGTTTTTTTACAAGTTATCTTTAAAATCTATTTTTTATATTTTAATATATATATAATTTAACTTGATTTTAATATTAAAAAGGATGTATACATTAATAACAGAAAGAATTCAATATTAAAAACTATTTATTTACAAAAATCAAAAGAATTCATAGTTTTAATAACATTATATTCAGAGTATATATTTCTTTTCAAATTCGCCATTTTGTTCTTCGATCATTGTGCAGTATTGTTTCAAGTATGAAAACCGGATCTTGTCGCTGCTCCAACTCAGATTCCGTCATCTTCTTCATCTGGATTCTTCGTTAAAGCTGCCTGCTGTTGAGTTCAATCGTCGCTATAATCACCAGGTAAATCATGAACTAAACTCTCCTTTAATCACTCACATTGCCATCTTCATGGATTTCTAGTGGTTTTCGCTCTTTGATTTGTGTTTTACTTTTGTTGTGCATAATTGGAGTCTCATTTGGTTTGATTTTGTGTTTTTTTTCACTGTTTCTCTTTGATTTGTTTAGTTAATAATGACCGTTGGTTCGTTCTTTGGATGCTGAAAGGTAAAGGAAGATCTATATTTTAGGAAATATTCAACTATGACTTTGTAGCTGTTCTTTTCATGTTTCGTGTTGAGAAAAGCAAAAGTCGCCTTAATTTCTTCATTGATTGCTATTTTTGGTATTGTTTTTGGAGAATTTGGTTTCCTAGCACTGTGATTTTGTTTGAATTTTCCTTCTGCCGAAACATGTTTTTATATCTTTAATCGTGATCTTTAGCTCCTAAAATATCTATCACCATTTTCTGATGATCTTCCTTTTATTTCTGTTTTGTTGCGTCTATGAACTTGGAGCATCCATCCACGCATCAACAGAATGATATAAATTTCTCGTGCTTTGTCATTCACCTTTCACAAATATTTATACAAAATACAAAGGAATAACCAAAGAAACTATTGAGAATCTATCCTATAATTACAAGCCATATTCTATGGAAAGGATATATACAAATTATGGAGAATATAGGATATTCTCTAACCCGCCCGCGCAGTTTGAGCATATGGAGGATGAACGCTTAAACTGGATCTGAAATCAAGGAATAACTGGCGGGGAAGTCCCTTTGTAAAAATATCAGCTTACTAGTAGGAAGAAGGAACATGAAGTACGCGCACATGGCCCATCACAACCTTTTCTCGCACAAAATGTATATCGAGTTCTATGGCACGTTGGTCTTGAACTGGATTGCCAGAAAGGTATATGGCAGACACATTGTCACAATAAATAATTGTGGCTTTTTGTGGATGATAATAGAGATCAAGTAGGAGTTCGCGTAAGCAACATATTTCACGATGCCGCGATATTCTGCCTCAGCACTGGAACGGGAGATAGTGGACTGCCGTTTGGCCGACCAAGAAACAAGGTTGTCACCCAAGAAAAACACAGTATCCTGGTGTAGACTGTCTTGTATCGGCGATGAAGTGAGACGATTGAGAGTAGACGGGTATAAATGTAAACCATATTCGAGTATGCCTTTCAAGTACCGGATAATACGTTTGAGTGCATTAAAATGGAGTTCCCTTGGTGCATGCATAAAGAGGCAGATTTGATGTACCGCATAAGCTATATCGGGCCGTGTGAAAGTGAGATACTGTACTGCGCCAGCCAGACCGCGATACAATGTAGGATCCTCGACTGGGGTCCGTCATTAGCACTAAGTTTCGACTTAGGGTCGACTGGGGTAGTGACAGATTTGCATTTCACCATTTTGGCCCTGGAAAGGATTTCCTCTGCGTATTTTCTTTGAGACAGGGACATGTGATTAGGGGTACGAGTGACAGAGATACCCAAAAAGAAACTTAACTTTCCCAGATCGGTCATGGAGAATTCTTTATTAAGAGAGGAGATGATGTCTGATTTGAGTTTCTCAGACGAGGCAGTCAATACAATATCATCCACATATAATAATAGATAAGCTGTGTCCTTTCCATGCCGCTAGATAAATAAGGAGTTGTCACTCTTACTATACCAGAAACCGACCTGCAAAATAAAGTTAGCAAACCCCTGATACCATGACTGAGGGGCTTGCTTGAGTCCGTAAACAGATTTACAGAGTCCGCACACATAAACCGGGGCGGAGGAGTTGTAGAAGCCGGGAGGTTGATACATAAATACCGTTTCCTTAAGATCCCCGTGAAGGAACGCATTTTTGACATCGAGTTGATGGATCGACCAATTTTGGCTCATGGAAATGCTAAGCACGGTTCGGATAGTGGCGGGCTTGACAACCGGTCTGAAAGTTTCATCACAATCTACCCTGACTTCATGAGATTTGCCATTAACAGCAAGTCGAGCTTTGTAGCGCTTGAGGTCTCCACTATCCCTGAATTTATGGCAAAAAAGCCCATGCATCATATGATTTTGACCTCCTCCGGCTGTGGTACAAGATCCCAGGTGTGTTGTTTAATAAGCGCACTGTATTCTGTGGTCATTGCCGCATTCCAATTTGCATCAAGCATGGCTAGTTTGGGGTTTTCAAGTATGGGTGAGATGGTTTGAGAAGATATATTGAAGTGTGTTTTGGGTTTGAAGATACCATGGCGTGAACGGGTTTGCATGGGGTGAGTAGAGGTGGGTGGTGGTTGGGCCATAGGTTGGCTAGTGAGGAACGGTGAGACCGTAGGTTGGATGGGGGAAGTGGTGAGGCCGTAGGTTGAGGGGTGGAAGTTGGGGAAGCCGTGGGTTGAGTGGGGGTGGTTTTTGGTGGTTGTGCATGATGTAAGTGATGAGCGGAGAAAGAGATGAGTGGTCAAGAAAGTTATAGTCATTAGTAGTTATTTTTGTAGGTTTGAGAAGGGAAAGGAGGTTTTGTCAAAAGTCACATGACGAGAGATTATAAATTTATGGGAGGAGAGGTCATAATAAAGGTCTGTAGCCTAGGAATGCACATGTGGTCGATCTAGGCGCAAGTTTATGGGGAATGGTGGAGGATAGGTTAGGATAGCAAAGGCAACCGAAGGTACGTAAATGGTTATATATAGGAATGTTGTGGAACAAAATTTCGATTGGTGTTTTATTTGCAAGGGTGTTAGTAATGGGAGATGCCCATAAATCAGCATGCATGAGATCAAAGGAAGCGAAAGTAAACATTTTAGATAAATTAAATGGAAGACGAACATGTTTGCCTAATGGACAAGAAAAACATTGAGGGTTCAGTGACCATTTATTACATGAAATTAAATTATTAGATCTATGAAAATCAAGAACTGGAGTCTTGGATGTCCAAGTCGATTGTGCCATGTAGAAGCGGAGATGGTTGCTAAGGTTAGTGGAGGCGTGATGGTGGCAGAAGAAGGAGAGAATAGACAGAGAGATCCGGTGCTATTGCATCTCGTAAGAGTTGTCCCCGTATTGAGATCCTTTACAGAAAAGCCAAAAGGGTCAAATTCAACAGAGACACGATTGTCAGAAGTAAATTTGCGAATGGAGATAAGATTTTTATTATATGAGGAGTGTAGAGTACGTTTTAAGAGAGAAAGGTAGGTGTGGTGGTGGGGTGGTGGAGTGGTGGTGTCACCGTATCCATGAATTGGAATGTGAGAACCATTACTGACAAGAACAAATTGAGAAGTGCTTGAATTAAAAAGTTAAGGGATAGTACCTGAATTACTAGTTAGATGAGAGGTGGCGCCTGTATCCATCTACTATGTATCATCGGGTTCATGAAGATTCACGGTGTTAAACGCGTTTCCTAGCTCGGTGGGAGTTATTGGCGTACCGTATGGATATTGTGGAGCGAACATTGCATGGTTTAGGTGGAATGCCGGTTTCCGTGAGGGAGCCAAACCCATAATGTTGGCTTGGTGGTGAGTGTAGGGAGAAGGGCTTGGTGTAGTGGGGTATGGGTATGGGGTGCAACATAGTTGCCGTTAAGTTGCCATTGGGGCCAAAAAGGTTGTTGCTGACGATATGGAGGGCCACGACCGCGACCACGGCCATGGCCATGACCTTAGCGTTGGTTATGTTGGCCATGACCACGTCTGCGGTAAGTATTTTGTGAAGGTGGGTGCGTTTCCGACAGAGGTGGAGTAGTGATGGTTGGCGGTGATTGCACGGGTTGGTCGGTAACAAGGGCATGTTGGGTATGGTTTTCTTGTTTGGATTTTCTGGTTTCCTCTAGTAGCATTTGAGACCGGACTTTATTGAAACTAGGAAACGGGTCAACTTGTTGTATCATGGTAGCGATGGTGTCATATTCTCCTTTAGTGAGTCCGGAGATAAGCTGAAGAACCATCTTGGATTCTTTGACGGGACTACCAACATTGGCAAGTTGATCCGAGAGTTGTTTGAGCTTCTTACAATAGTCAGACATGTTTGAGAGATTCTCGAGTCTAGTGGTGTTGAATTGTTCTTCCAAGTATACGACACGAGTATGTCTGTTGTCTTGGAAAATCTTTTCTAGATGTGCCCACAATTCTTTTGCAGGGGCACCCGGTTTCATGATGGTCTGAAGGAGATCTTTGGAGATAGTGTTTTAGATCCATTGTTTAACAATGGCGTCAAGGCGTTCCCATGTCGGCTTATCAACGGACGATGGTTGTGTGGTGTTGGCGTCGATGTGATCAAGGACGTTATAGGCACAAGCGTGGATTTGGAAGAGTTCCACCCACGATGCATATTGGCCGTCCTCTTGGTCAAGGACGAGAGGAATAAGATTTTTGATATTAGTGACAGCGAACGCCGGGTGAAATCCCGTGAGGGATGGGGTTTCTTTTTCCTTACAGGATGACGTTATCGTGGAGGAAGATGGTGGTGGGGAGTTTGTTGGAATCCTAAAGAAACGAGATTGAAGATAGAGGGAGAGGAGAGTGTGAGGCTCTGATACCAAACTGAATGGTATAAATTTCTCTTGTGCCTTCTTATTCACCTTTCACAAATATTTATACAAATACAAAGGGATAACCCAAGGAAACTATTGAGAATCTATCCTATAATTACAAGCCATATTCTGTGGAAAGGATATATACAAGTTATGGAGAATATGGGATATTCTCTTAACAATATTCTCCAACATCATCAATATCTTTTTCCTGTTTGTTCTTCGTTGATTTGCATAACCTGTTCTTCGTTGATGGCTTGTTCTCTTTCGGCGGGTGATCTATAATGATGTTTTCTATTTCTTAGTTTGCTCTTATTTTCTTAATCCTTGTTGTGGTTGTGTGGGGGAAAACGTTGTTCAGCTGTTGGATGACATGATTACACTTGGCTTCCTAAAATAAGGGGAAAGAGAGGGAAATGAACATGAATAGTCACAACTATATTTCTATTAACTAGCAAGTTGGGTCCTTAATTTGGGCTTCGGAGCTAGTTAAAATTTCGATAGTGGGTCTAACAGGAGTTGAAATAGATAATTTTGGTTTGGAGTTTCATATTAGGTTCACTACTCAGTATTACCCTCAGGATTTATTGGCAAATCCCTGAATTCTGCTTTTAAATCTTGCTGATCGCTTTCACAGGTGTGTTGATGATTGCTTGGATAGGAAATAGTGAAGCTTCAGAAAAGAGATGAAAGAGAGGTCATTTGGTTTGATCATCGGTATCTCAATAGGAGTCGTAATTGGAGGGCTTTTGGCCTTAGCTGGGATACTTTGCTTCAGGTTTCACCGGAAGCGACCTCAGATAGGTAATAGCAGTTCTAGGAGAGCAGCAACTATCCCCATTCGTACAAATGGTGCTGATACTTGTACGATATTATCGGACTCATCCATGGGTACAGAATCATCAAGAACATCTGTACAGAATGGCATCCCATTATGGTTTGGTGGAATGAAGAAGGGTCATGTGGTTGCTGCTTCTGGAATTCTCGAATATTCTTACAAGTATGTTGAATTTAGTACTGATGCACCTCTCTGCTTTATAGTTTATACCATGAGCTTCCTAAAACAATGATACCTGAAGTACATTGGTATTGTTATTATTTTTGAAATGGCAAAAGAAATTTTAGTAATGAGATAACGTGTACAGTTGATGTCCACCAAAATGGACCGATTACAAATTGAATGCTTAGGCCAAAACAAACAATAGAATACTGAGCTAATATACTTAAAATATTTTTGAACAGTAAAGAAAATTTGTTACATTTGTAGACATAGTAATTGATATTAGTTTTATGCAGGCTTAGATGTAGCTATCATCGTTTGCTTTAACTTCATATTCAGAATTTCATATGAGATCCTCATCATGAGTCATTACTTTACTTCTATCGCATTCCTTTATGTTTCTTTCATCTTTTGACTTACTAAACACAACGTAGCTGTATCAAACTTACCATCTTATCATAGAGTTTCTGTCAAAGAAAAATATATTGAATCAAGGAGCACCTTTCCATTTGGTTTTAATGCCTCTTTACTGGTTCCTTTTATTCTGGATATTTCTGTTTTACCTTTTCTTACCATAATCTTTTTTTCCTGGATCAAGCAGAGATCTACAGAAGGCTACCTACAATTTCACGTCCTTGATAGGCCAAGGGGCATTTGGTCCTGTTTATAAAGCTCAGATGACCGCTGGTGAAGCAGTTGCAGTCAAAGTTCTTGCAACTGATTCCAAACAAGGCGAGAAAGAGTTCCATACGGAGGTAGCAATGAAGCATAGATACAGTCACCTCATGATTATATGTTTGGGATTGATTAATTTATGTTAATGAACATTTCTATAGATTTTCTCTCTGTGGTCTTCTAACTATACTATTTCTAGCTAGGATCTTGAAAAGAGTATAGTTCACATTATGCTTTTGGGAATGATTTTTAAGTAGCTTAATGCTGAAGGCTTAAACATTGAAAGGGACATTCACAGTGGATTTGGAAAACAAGTATTATTTGAGCTATACTCACCTCTTGCGCTTTATCCTTCTTCATAACATACATAGTAACCTATAGAATCAAGTCAAGCATATGTATCCCTGCGGGAGAAACTTGGGTGCTTTTTCTCAGAAAGGGACCTTTTGCTGGTCTTGTAGACAATGTCTATCTGGCAAGTTATACTCCCTGCTTCCAATGGAAAATGAAATACTTACATATATCTTTACTAGTTATCTGTTCCATCAATATATATAATCTCGTTGAATACAAACTTCAATATTTAGAACAACAGTTTGCAGAACAAGCCTTCACTTGGATGGATTAAGATGCTTGTAGAGTTGTATGCCAAAAGGCGATGTTGCATTTTTCATGGGTTGGAGAAAGTATCAAGATAAAACCATCCAAAGTCATGTGATATGGTAGTTAGCCTGCATAACATCTTGTCACTGGGATTCTTTACTAGAAACATGGATTTGGAAAACGTCAGAGTTGGTTGTAGATACAATGGAGTATTTAGATATAATGATGAAGCTTTAGGAAAATTATAGCATACAAGAATATTTGTAGGCTAAAGTATCATCTGAATAGGTGGTAAATAAGATTTGGCAATCTTGAAATTGGAACACGAACATTTCCATCATTAACATGGCCTTAAAAGCCTTAGTAGTGTACTTCTTAGGTTTTTTCTGTTTCTGATTGAGATCATCTTATTTCTGCTTCTGCACTTGTTAGTTTGCCTCAAGCTTTCCTGTGGGTATATTCATTTGCAGGTTATGTTATTGGGAAGGTTACATCACAGAAACCTAGTGAATTTGGTAGGATATTGTGCAGAAAAGGGACAACATATGCTCATATATGTCTACATGAGCAAAGGCAGTCTGGCTTCTCATTTGTACAGTAAGTGGTCATCCAACTTTGTTATAATTAGTAAATAAACAAGTTTCATGTACCTGGTTTTGTCAAGACTCAAGACAATAACAGATGCACATTCTTAATTTTGCTTAGCAACAAAATGAAACAAAATCTCCCCTATCAAAGTTCAAGGAAATGCAACTGAATTCAATATATCTGTTGTTAATAAATACAACCATCCGTAGGATCTAAGCCACAGTTGTTGAAGGATCTTCGAGCTTTTACTTCTTTAGATATTTCATAAGCCAACAAACTCTTATGTTAGTTCTAGTGATTAAAAGCCCTAAAACGTAGGAGAATGCTACACTGTTCCTATATTTGCTTCAAGTTGAAGTTTGTAAGGGCGTCTTTCATTTTAATGTCCTGGTTGGGGCAATTTGCCAGTCTATCATACACCATAACTATAATGGGCTTTTTATAGCTAAATCACTCAATGTCTTTATGATCACATCTTCATATGTTTATTTTAGTTGTGTCGTATTATGGGGGACCGTCAAGCACATCCGGCAAGGATCAAGGGCGATCTCGTTGTTGCATAGCTCAGGTCGGAGTAAGGTGCCATCGAAAGCTTCATTTCATGAGTTGAACTGGCAGTTGAACTGGCTCTGCTCCTTGCTGGAGGAAAAATGGGGCAATGAAGTAGGTGAAGTGGTTGGATTTTGCGAGCTGTTCATTCTATTGGGTATTGGTCATTGCGTAGATAACGATTTCCCGACCGGCGCCTCGCATATGGGTAGCAAGAGGGCGCTTATGCCCCGACGGTGGGGCCTACCCACTGGGGATTTTTTTCCCCGCTCCAAGAAGGGTTCGTAGACAGCCCGAAAGAAGGAAGAAGAATCTAATGGAAAGCCTCAGTTACAGACTGAACTTACCTATAGGAGGAGGTTTGATTCGGTCTTGCGACCGTACTCCCCAGGCGGAGTGTTTCACGCGTTAGCTGGGCCCAGAAAGGTCGACCTGAGAAAGCCCTTTTTAAGCTGATAGGAGAACTTCACTGACAGCATTCCCACTTTTATTACGAGTCCGGAAAGCCTCCTCAGAGGGATCCTCAAAATAGAATAGCGAGCCGGATTTTTCAATTCAAGTGCAAGAGTAAGCCAAAAAATGTGTTGTTGAAGTACACCCGTGAGATAGCGCTCACTGGTGAAGCTGGTGTTGTTGGACTTATAGATTCTCCTTGGCTAACAAAAATCTGAAATGGTTTCAAAATCTGAAATACTTGCACATATAGCTTTAAATCTAAAATGGCTTCATTATTGGTAGTTCATGTTGCTTGGTTGGTAAATTGAGTTATAACTTATAACCAATAGTAGTTCAATAGTCTTACAAAAATGCTGTTGCTTCTGAAAATTTAGGTGAAGAACATGAATTGTTAAGCTGGGATTTGAGGGTTCAAGTAGCGTTGGATGTAGCTAGAGGATTGGAATATCTCCATGATGGAGTAAGCTTTGCTTTTCATTTACAAGTATTCCATTATCGGCATTTTTTCTTTTGTTTGTCACTACTCCCTCCATCTCAAAATAAATGTCCACATTTCTATTTTAGTTGGTTCCAAAATAAGTACCTACTTTCAAAAATAAGGGGCTTTTGGTTGGTTTTCCATCAAGTCCTGTGTGGATAAAGTTTTCTATGTGGTTTAATCTCTGTATAGATCGGGATTTTTGTCTAAAAGGGTTTTTCATAGATGGAAGGAGTGTGTTTGTTAATTGGGAGGAGCAAGTTTCAAAAAAAAAAACTTGGCTTTCTGCATAAAGCTCTCCCATAGAAGCTTACTGAAGCCACTTTCTATATCATTAAGCCACTACCAAACAGTCATGTATAGCTTACCGAATAAGCTGTGAGTCCCATTAACTCATTAAGCTTCTAACAAACAAGTGTAGATCTGCTCCATAGCATATCTTGTTCCCCCTCCCTAATATGTAGGAGTTCACTTTCCAATTCTACTCTTGATTATTAGACGAAGAAATTCATTACTCTTATTATTAAAGTTCAAATTGTCATGTAGTTGATTAAAAATTGTAATAGTTACACATTTCTAAAACTGTCTCTTTTTCGTTGTGGACATTTATTTTGGGACAGACGGAGTATTGCTGTTATTTGGGCTTTTGTGAAGCCTATGCATATCAGCACTCGTGCATCTATGCTTATGCATAATAATCCAATTTATTGATCTTTTCTTGTAACTCCAGGCTGTTCCTCCAGTCATACACCGGGACATCAAGTCGTCTAACATCCTGTTGGATCAGGCCATGAGGGCCAGGGTCAGTCTACTGCTGTTAAGCTCTCTTTTATGCATATCTGAAAAGTTTGAAATGTTTCAGAAACTAGTGTAGCAATTGATTTAGCTGCTTTAATATATTGATTTTTATAGTGACCACTACCCAATTATATTGTGTCAAGCAGGTGGCCGATTTTGGACTTTCAAGGGAGGATATGATTAATAGACATGCCTCCAATATCCAGGGAACTTTTGGGTATCTTGATCCTGAATATATATCAACAAGGGCATTCACCAAGAAAAGTGATGTTTACAGCTTTGGAGTTCTACTATTTGAGCTTATTGCAGGAAGAAACCCTCAGCAGGGCCTCATGGAGTACGTTGAGCTCGTAAGATCTCTTTCTCTCTCTCTCTATATATATATATATATGTATATATATATATATATATATATATCTGTGTGTGATATAGAATCATCAACCAGTTTTTGGTGGTCTTTTTGTTGATTTCTTCTGGATGTGAAGGTTTTTTTTTTTCTTAAAGCATGGACTGAAGTTATTCATTGGTAGTTGAATTACTTTTGTAATGTAAGTAGTAGCCGTTGAATCACTGGTAGTTGAGGGTCATGACAGATTCTGATATAGTTATTCTGTCCCAATTAAATGACCTTTTAGATGATTAGCTTTTCCAACTCTTAAGCAATATATATATATATGTGTGTGTGTGTGTGTGTGTGTGTACTTTCCCATATGATGCATCTAATATAAAGTCAACTACAAGTATACCCTTTTTAGTTCCTTCAAAATGCATTTTTAGCAAATCACATGGTTGACATTTCTATTCACATTCGGTTCATGTTAGTTCATTTTTTAAGTATGTCTAGCTTTTAGACTTAAGAAGTGGGAAAGGATGTATTTATATACTTGTAGGTAATGATACTATTAGTGATTTGTGATGATGAGCTGATGATTAGTTTGGAGCCTATTTCGTAATGCATTGTCTATGTAAACGAATGTAAGCATTTTGTAAAATGACAATGCATTAATAGGATTTCGCTTTAAAATTTCAAATCGACGCAATATTTTCTCCTGAGAAAATGTTTTTTTTGGGGGGGTGTACAAGGAATATGTAGGAAATGAGGAAGCTGGAAGTTGCAGAAATGAGAATGCTTAGATAGACGTGTGGTTGGACCATGTTGGACATGATACCAAATGAAGTCTTCTTGACCGAGTTGGGACTTGCTTCTGTCATGGATAAGTTGACTTAGGAAAGATTGTGGTGGTTTGGACATTTTTTTTTTGTAAGGGTGTCCGGGCCAAAGCCCGACTAATCCCCTGCAATTTTTGGACATTTTTGTCGGAGAAAAATGGCGACTCTAGCTAGGCGGGTAGAAAGCGTGACGGTTGAGGGGGTGAGGAGGAGGGGAAGACCGCGGAGGACATGAAATGAACAACTAAGGATTGACATGGCAGCCTAGGGCATGTTCATTATTAGCAGCTTAATGAATTTAATGAGATGAACAACTTATTCGGTCAGTTATACATGACTATTTGGTAGTTGCTTAATGATATAGGAAGTGGCTTTATGCAGAAAGCCAAGTTTTTTTCCAAACATGCCTCTTCAAATTAAAAAACATGCTTCTTCCAAACATGCCCCTTCAAATTAAAAAACATGCTTCTTAGATTTATGAAAAAACCCACCCAAACAAAGCCTTCCCTCTCTGTACAGACAGATTAATCCACGCAGACAACTTTATTCACATGAGACTTAATGAAAAACAAACCAAACAGCCCCTTAGAAAAACAACCGCTCTACCTTTTGGGATGAAAAAATTTACAAGTCTTGATAGTGCATAATAATATAAGATGCCTTGGACCATGTCATATTATTGCAAGTCAATTTATATGAACTAATTATGTATTTATGTATTTCTCGGTATAAATAGGCAGCGATGAACACGGAGGGTAAAGTCGGATGGGAAGAAATAGTGGATTCTCGTCTTGAAGGAAACTTCAATGAGCACGAACTGAACGATGTGGCATCTCTTGCATACAATTGCATCAACCGTTCCCCAAGAAAACGACCATCAATGAGAGACATCGTGCAAGTCTTATCTCGTATTCTTACAATTCGGCACAACAAAAAGCATCATAGACGTGATTCATCGGTTGTGGCCGATGAGGTTGCACTCAACATCGACCAATTAGGTCGGCGGAGCCCGATGAATAGCGAACATCGACGGATGGAGTCTATGAGCAGCACAGCTGATTCTTGTGAAGGTTAAAAATGAGATTTGACCCCTTGATTGTTTTAGTTTTGTTTGCCTTTGTTTTGTAATATATATTTGGCATGTTTTTTTACATATATAGGGGAGGAGTTGATAGCAGCAGATAGGGCAGGTTTTGGTGTGGTGTTGACTTGAGTTGAGTGAGGAAATTAGGTTGTAAAATCTCTGTTTTTCTTCTTGGGTTTGATCCTGTTATGGTTCAATTTTGTATACTAATAGAATACATTACAAAAAGATGGTGATTGAATCTTTCAGATCTCATCTTCAGATTCAGTTTGTTTAATTTGATTAGTGGAATTTCATTCTAAAATTTTGATCAGACAATTTCAACTCATATATATATACCCCAAAAAAATTCTTAAAAACCATTTTTTATACATGAAATATTGTTTATTGATAAATATTACTTACAATTCAAGATTACAAGTAAATTGTGCGTAAGTACAACTTACTAAAGCTTTATGTTTGAATTCGTGTAACTAACTGCAGATAAACATAATCAAATACATGATAAAYATCYMWTTTWAA